TGACCTGCAGGCTGATTCACTACTGAAAGAGCACTTTAAGTCAGCATCACTGCCAGAGTTCTACTCTGCTCTCAACGAGGAGAACTTTCCAAACAGGAGGAGACGTGCTCAGAAGATGTTGGTTCTCTGTGGATCCTCCTACATATGTGAACAGACATTCTCAGTCATGACGTTTACCAAATCCAGGTACAGATCCTCTCGCTGATGTCAGCTGTGCTTCACATCTCCACCTCAGACATTCAACCTGACTTTGATGGACTTGTTGCAGCTCCACAGAGACTGGATTTCTCACATGAATGAGAAAAGAACTGAAGACACTAAAATGTGTGAATATAACAAGTGAAATGGGACACTTGATATGCTTCTTTTCTTTTTTTGCACCGTTCTGAAAATGTTTTAATACAGGCGTGTACAAGTTCTCCGAGATCGTGACGCAGATCGCTTGACTACCCGGGTAAAATAAGACCGTTGCTGTTGACCAAACGTGACCCGTGGAAATAGCCTATACGTGAATTTCCTGCTGAAGCAGGTAAAACGATATCACTGTTCTTGTTAACCAGACGTGAGTTCTACTGAATCACCTTTAGAACAAGATCGTGGCAAAATCCAAGCGTGAGTTTTTGCAAAGTTTTTCCTTGAGTAAAGAAACTCCGCCTCACGCTGACGGCTGTATTGTAATAAGTAAACCGGTAGGGTCCACCAGTAAAAGATGGGTGGCCAGTCCGCCAAACACACGGAACCGTCGGGTCCGATTGTGGCAATGATGCAGCAGAAATACAGGAGAACACGTACAGAGTGTCGCCCATACTTGACAAAAGAGTTTGGGTTTCCAGAAAACGGCTCGTTGAGTGCCGCTAAACTTAAAACGTTAAGAGGGGATTTGGAAGGTTAAAGGATTTAAAAGTGGTAATAAGGTCAAAGTGAAAGACCTGGAAATAATGGAGGAAACCCAGACACGTCTGGCACAATGGGAAACGGGATGTGAATGATGGAGAGAAAACAGATGATGGAGAGCTCACGTGTGAAGGGACGACTACTGCTGCCTCTCAAACAGGGAAGTGACACGCGATCGTATCAATACCGAAACCCAACACCAAAAAACAGCTGACGTCCTTTTTGGGCATGTGCTCATACTGTCGACCATTTATTCCAAACTACTCACGAATGGAACAACCGTCATCAAACTTAATCCACGGGAAACATCTTCACATCTTCCCACAAATGAAACGTGCTCGGTGACGTGCGAGTCAGTGGCGCAAGACGTCCAACCATCAGCTGTTATTGCAACTCAACGCTTCATCTCTCGTTTTACTTTCTCGTACAGACGAGGGATTTGTTTCTACCTGGAATGTGGAACCTCGGCTCCAGTATGTTGAGGAGGTATTGGAAGCCCTCGTTTTCACCAGCACTGTGAGGCTGTATATCTTTACAGATAAATAAGGCAATGGCTGCGCTTATTGCCTGTGATCGAGCTGAGTCGGTAGCCAGCGGCATGAAAGAAAGTGGCGATACGTTTCTCAGTGTGCTCGGCAGGTGTACTGGTAGAGCTCGCCACTGTAGCCACACCTGAATCTGAGGAGGAGGCAGACGTCTCAGCGCGTCGCCTCTTCAGGTGCGTCCCTAAATCAGCTGTACTTTATGGCAGCGCGACGTATTTTATTTTATCCACTTTCCCGTCTTTCTTTGGAAATCCAAAGTGTTGCCAAACCTTGGATTCATTGCAAGTTTTCGGGACGTCTACCTCTCCATCCGCCATGGTAACGCTCTCCCACGCGCTCTCCTCCAACTCCAGACTTCACGAGAATCGCCCACTGACAGCAGAGGAGACGAGCGCGCTTAGAAACAGAGAGGAGGCGTCTATCCAAGTATGAAACGATTGGTCACAAATCATTGGACGCATTTCTAAATATTAAATGGTGTTCGCCTCCACGCGATTCTGTATAAATACATCGGATTATACCGATGCAAAAATGTTAGAAACGATGCACGATTCATCCCACAAGGTATCCGGTGCACACTTTGTTGATCCGGGCCGACGCATCGTGAGCTTTTACGCCGACGCATCGAACCGGTGAATCTCCCCATCCCCACTCCAGAGATTCAAACCCCCTCCTGCGTGATGCGTCTCCACGGAGGTTCCTTTAATGCAGCGTCGCTCCTTCAGGGACGGGCGCCCAGGACCTGATGGAGGACGAGGAGACGGAGGCCGCGGACGAAGACGAGGACGACGAGGCGGAAGTGGAGGACGACGAGAACGTGGAGCTGGTGACGGATTAGATATCTCACTCCTCTGGCGCTGAGAGTCATTCTCACTCCTCAGCTTCTTTCCTTCTTCTTGTTCCTGGCAGCTCGTTACATTTGTGAAGCTGATGAAGCACGTTGATGAAGATGATGATGAAGATGTTGATGATGAAGACGAAGCTGCTGCTGAAACAAACTTGTTTGTTTACAGACGGAAGAAAAAGAGGAAGAGGAGGAGGCGTCGGTCGGAGAGGTGAAGGCGTCCCCCAACGCAGACACCACCATCCTCTTCGTCAAAGGAGACGGTAAGGTCCCTCCATGCTTCCTTATCTCCTTAAGCAAAGGAAACAAGTGATCAAATGAAGCTTTATTTTATTTTACATTCCGTCCTTTGGTAGTAAAGTCATATTCACGTTCATTCAAAGCAGCCGTGTGACGCCGGAGAGAAGACGATATTTCAGCTGTTTACCGGCAGAATGAACTCTTCATCTCCTCCTCCTCCTCCTCTTCTCCTTCAGACTTCCCTGCCAACGAAATCGTGAAGTTCCTGCTCGGTTTCTCCAACAAAGGACCGGAGAACTTCGTGGTGGAGTCTCTGGACGCCTCCTTCCGTTACCCACAGGTACCACGACCTTTAACCTCTCCGTGATGCGTTCAGGGACCATTACAACTGTACGGCGATGTGTTCATGGGTAATATGTAAAATGTAGTTTTAGTGATAAACTTTTCCTTTTAATATAAAATAGCAGATATGAATTATTATGCGTTAAGCTTCTTAAACTATAAGAACTTTACAGCATTAAAAAGACGACATTAATAATTGATACAATTTCTAAATGTATCAATGTTTTATTCCCTTTTTAAAGAGAAAACTACTGTAGATGACTCGAGCAAAGCGAAAGTAGTCGTTATTATTTCTCACGATGATGTAATCGGCGCTCCTCTCTGGCCCCGCCCCCTTCCCTTTAGGATTACCAGTTCTACATCCAGAACTTCACGGCGCTGCAGCTCGGCATCGAGGTTCCCGCCAGCCGGCAGGCCACCTTCGAGTACTCCTTCATCCCCGCCGAGCCCATGGGGGGGCGGCCCTTCGGCCTGGTCATCAACCTCAACTACAAGGACGCCAACGTAAGCCCCGCCCCCCCATGGGGATAGATTTGATTGGTTTCTCGAGTCTCTGACGCCCACAGAAGGGATTCGTTTTCATCGGGGTAACCAGAGCGCACATCGGCGTCCCGAGGCGTCCTCACTCGTCCCTGAAAGTCTCTAATGAGTAAAAGTTGTCTTCTCGTAGGGGAACATCTTCCAGGACGCCGTGTTCAACCAGACGGTCACCATCACGGAGCGCGAGGACGGACTGGACGGAGAGACGTAAGCGTCCACGCCGCCTCACCTCCGTCTCACGTCCTGCTCCCTCACTTACTCCTCTTCCTCGTCTCTGCAGCATCTTCCTCTACGTCTTCCTGTCGGGCCTCGGGCTGCTGGTCGTCGTCGGGCTTCACCAGCTGATCGAGTCCAGGAAGGTACAGATGTGGACTCCAGTCAGACGCCGCAGCATCTGTGTCGGTCACGTGACGACGATGTCATCGTTTCTGAGCAGCTCAGAGTTGGATGTTGAGCAGAATCTGTGTCCTCACGTCTGACTCTTTGTCCTCAGAGGAGACGCCCAGCGCCAAAGGTGGAGATGGGGACCTCCAGCCACAACGACGTGGACCTCAGCTGGATCCCTCAGGAGACCCTCAACCAGATCAGTAGGGCTCCTCTCTCTCCTTCTGTCTCTCCCTTTGTCTCCTTCTGTCTCTTTGCTTCTTCTGGAAGTTGATCCTCATGATGAATATTTGAAAGCATCTAAAAGGCTTCAGAGGTTTTGTAGAGAACATAAAGATATAAAGTGACATTCTTTTGTTGCTCGGACGCTTTCATCTCTGCTGCCGTTTTTCTCGCAGAATCAGCTGTTCTCTCCCTGTTTGACCTTTAACCTCCACTCTGCATGAGGGTCACTCACTGTTTCTCTCTCATGTTTCCCTGCGTCTCCAGTGCAGAGTCGCAGAGGTGAGATGTGTGTGTGTGTGTGTGTGTGTGTGTGTTGCTTAAGAGATGAAATAACTAATGAACAACACGCAGCAAAACGTCTTCAGCCTCCGTTTAAACAGAATGAAACATCTTCATCACGGAGGTGACTTCTCTTCTCTTCTTCTCTCCAGACAAAGCGTCTCCCAGAAGATCTCCTCGCAAGAGGAACCAGAAACGCTCAGCCGGCTCGGACGAGTGACGGTCGCCATGGCGACGGTCCACAGAGGACGGATGAAGACGGGACGAGTGGGGACTCGTTCCACTGAGAGACTTTAAACACACAGGGATCATGTGACTGGTTTTATCTGCTCGTTTCCTCTGTGGGAAACACAGCGTTGATGGATTCATTCCATCCAGAGGAAACGAGCTTCTGCTTTCATTTTGTTTTTTAAATGTGCAGGAAATAAAGTTTGATTTGATGTCGTCTTTGTTTGTTCTGATAAGTGTTTACGACACATTGATGTATAAACGTGTTATAACTTAATAGTTGAAGTAGGAAAACAAACTTTAAAATGAAGAAAAGAACTAAATAATCAAGTCACTTTTGAGACGATTGTTTCACTTTTATTATTAATTTCCTGCTGCAATAATCAGACTTTGATCATACAAGTATGTCAGCAAAGTAATACATGGAGGGACTAAATATACTGTTAGAAACAGAAGCACCTGATATTATCTCATTAAACATTTGAAGTTGAAATCTGCTAAAATAATTATTCATATTTTCCTTATTTGTCGTTTATCAAACGTCTACTTGAACATTGTGACACATAAAGATGAAGATTAAACATCTAAACGATAATTATTGATTCCATCTGCAACACCACAAGTCCCAGAGAGCTGTGGACCCCCCAGAGTCCAGACCAGCTCAGGTACCCCTCACCTGCTCCACCTGCATCTACACCCACATGAACCACCATCAGCTGCACAGACTGAACTATGTGGTGAGCAGTGAGGAAGGTTCTCCACCAGGAGGAGACTCTCCCTCCTGCAGAGAACACAGAGACACTGAGGCACCAGAACAGGAATCAGAATCATGCCAGGGTACAAACCCAAACCCAGGATAAAGAGGTTCAGTGAATGTGGTGCTGAAGGTGTGGAGGTGGATCAGTGTGTCAGAGGAGACTCTGTAGAAGGACAGAGAGCCAGCAGGACAGTCCACATACACTGCTACTCTACCAGAGGAGGAGGAGATGGAGGAGGAGGAGATGTGTGTTTGTGTGTCATTGTGAAGGACATAGTAACCTTTATCAGAGCTGCTCAGACTCCAGGACTGATCATTGTATCCAAACAAACTGTCATTACTGTCTCCTTTCCTCTGGATTCCTCTGTAACTCACTGATACATCAACGTCTCCTCTCCACTCGACCTCCCAGTAACAGCGACCAGTCAGACCAGTTCTACACAGCAGCTGATCCCGGGAGTCAAATCTGTCTGGATGATCAGGATACGACTGACCCTCCTTCACACGTGTCACCTTCCTGTTGTTGTCAGACAGTTTGAGTTGTGTGTTTACTGTGTTTGTGTCGATTGTGAGTTCACAGGAATCTGATGAGAGAACAAGACACAATACAGCTGCAGTTATTAATCATGTGTTCATCTACTGACACGTTGATGACATCACAGAGGTGAATGAGTGATGTCACAGTGTGAAGATGGTTGAATCTTCATGAATCAAAGCACACTTACACTTCCTCAGACCTGGTCTCAACCATCGGACTCCATCAGGCTCCACCCTGAAAGGAGGAGGGGGGTCAGAGCAGCATGGAGACATGGACATTACATCACTCTCACACACAGCTTTGTCCTTCGTGTCCACATGGAGCACCTCTTCTTCTTCTACCACTACTTACAGACGACCACAGACTGTCAGTCAGGCGTCACACAGCGACGAGGTGCTGGAATATATTCATGAAGAAGATGAATGGATAACAAATAAGAAATGGACCTGTCACTGTACTTTCACCAGATGTGAATTCAAACGGGAGAAATGACGTCATGCTACAGATCAAGCTTCATGGGACGTGTGCAAAGAAACATTCACATTAAACTGTTTCATAAAGATAAAGCAGATACAGACCATTCAGTATTCACACAATGTGCATGG